GTTACAGAGTCCGAGTAAATAAATGTATACGCTAATTATTTAAATAACAAGTGGGTCAATTATAGGAGGATTGAGTGGGTATTGAAGGGCGGGCAAGGATCGGACGGTTTGTATTTCCAACATCAATCTGTCTACTCTCACTTTAGAATAATAAATGCCTCTTAGTGTTTACGATATATGACAGTCGCTTATTTTATTTCTCTCTACTAATATATATGTGTGGTTTTACACTCATATGACGGCAGATGGCCTTTATGATTTTATTGAAGTCCAAGAGGTCACGTGCTATTATCCATATCTGGACTTTGAAATGCATCGTAAGCCACGTGATGTGACTGTGATGCGAACCAAAGTGCTGGGTGAATAGCATTCACTTAACTTGGGCGGATACAGCATCAGGGAAGACATGATATGGAAGCCAGCAGAGGCGAGGCAGAGAAAGATCAGGAGATCCAAAGTTGGAGGAGGCAGATGCGGATGAGGAGGAGGAGGTGCCATTCATGTACGACTCTTCGAGGTTGTATCGAACGTGAATACAGATTATACGGCTTTGTCGAACCAACACCAATGTCTGCGTCGAGCTGGCAAGGAGGAGCTCTGTTTACTCTTCTTGCCCAAACCAAACATCATCGATTGGGTAACTGAACTCGTTGTTTTTAGATGCCGTTTATATTAGCCACTTCCTGATTCGTCGAAATTTTAATCTCTCCCAGTCTCCACTTCTCGTTCTCTCTCTTCTCCACATTTATTTACTCTGCATGTTTAATCTATCACTAATATCAGCGGTATTCGGTGACTGCACTAAGGTCTCTGCCCAAGTCCATTCCTGCGATACATTTTAATGCCAAGAGGCCCTTCCAATAGAGAGACTGATTCTAATGTAGAAAATTTTGCCAAATTATATTTATGGACACATTAGATATTGAACCCAACACCACTCGCAGAACTGGAATATCTTTGGAAATATGCTGAGCAAGCATGATAACCAACTACGCCATGTGCCCGGTGGTAGTGGTTCAGCAGCTCGCTGGGTCGAGCATGTGCATCTGAAATATGCTGCTATATGATTGTCACGTAGTAGGCGGTGATTATTCAAGAAGATAAAATTGCCAGTTCCTCCTACACAGGTACTTTCGTCCTCCGAGCCATTTTGGATCAACCAAAAATAAACTGTCGTTTCCATCATTTGTTTGAGGGAAACAATAGAAGATCAAACATTCATGGACACATTGGGAATTGAACCCAACACCTTTCGCATAACACACCCAGTCTTGAATGCAAAGCGAACGTGATAACCAACTACACCATGCGCCCATATACTTCCCTCCTCACCCGTGGTGAACTCAATTACACTGTTATGTGAGGAAGGGGAAATTGGCGGCAAGATATATTCAATATTTGCAGGTACAAATAACACGAGTCGGAGATATAACTACATGAGAATTCATGATAGGTTTTGTATAATTCGAGGCTACGGAGAACGTTGATAGGCGGCGTTGACACAGTAAAGAACCTTACAGCGAGATTTAGGCCTCGACTTGGACAGTGAATGGATTGCTTTGCAAGCCTCCAACCTAAAAATTAATAAGAATATGAACCATAAATCTGTGCAGTCAGAGAATACTAACACATTCGTATTTACCCTGTACTAGTGGTCAGAATTAGTTACCATAGAATGAGGATTAACATACCAAGTCACAGTGTCCGGAGCAGCACTGGTCCGGGCGATCGCAAGGCTCGCCGGCGTGGTGGCAAGCATTCATCTGAAGGCCTGACTTGAGTCCGCCGATCTGTAGGTAGATCAGGTATCGTGTATAGGAATCAAATACTGTAACTAACGCATTCGTAACGGTTCTAAATTTTCTGTTAGATGAGAGGAATGCTAATGCGAATGATGACGTACAAGGTCGCAACGCCCGGAGCAGCACTGGTCATTGCGATCACATGGCTCTCCGGGGATGTGGCAAGAGTTCATTTTATGGATAGATTTGAGTCCGGCGGCCTGTAGATAGATCAGGTATTGCGTAGAGGAATATAATACTGTAACTAACGCATTCGTAACGATTCTAAATTTCGTGCTTAGTATGAGAGGAATACAAATACAAATAATAACGTACAAGGTCGCAGTCGCCGGAGCAGCACTGGTCAGGACGATCACAAGGCTCCCCAGGGAGGTGGCAAGCATTGGCCTGGTGGCCCGAAGCAAGAGTCGACTTAATGCCTTGTAAGCCTCCAACCTGTTCTAAAGTCAGTACATCGAACTCCCTGAATATGAATATAGTGACGTACGCATTCATAGTGTCTCTAAGTTTCAATGTGAGAAATATGACAAATAACAAAAGATGACCACGTACCAAGTCGCAGTTGCCCGAGCAGCACTGGTCAGGACGGTCGCAAGGCTCTCCAGCATGGTGGCAAGAATTGGTCTGATGCCCCGAAGTAAGAGTCGATTTGACGAAGCTTGGCATCTAATATCAAGTTATTATATGGAGTGACTATATACGAATGTAATGACGTACGCATTGGTAGCGGTTCTAATACCAAGTTTAGAAATTTGGTATATAAGATAAATTAGCCACATACCATGTCGCAGGATAGGCCCCCACAGCACTGATCATCGCGATCGCAAGGTTCTCTCAGACCGTGGCACATGTTTGCTTTCTGCTCAAACTGGAAGCGAACACGCTGTGGGCAAGTTAGTATTATACATATCTTGAATATTGGTGAAGAGACGAACACATTCATAATTATCCTATAGCATTGAAGTTAGAAATATGCATTTGCATTAAACAATAAACACTCCGCTTACCAAGTCGCAGCTTCCAGAGCAGCATTGATCATTGCGATCGCAGGGCTCTCCTGGAAGATGACAACCCTTGGGTTCGAAAACTATCTTCAAAGACGCAGCCGAAGCAGTGGCGGCGAGAGAAGCAATGGCGAAGACGATTGAGAACTTCATAGTGGTTGTGATAAGCAGAGATAAATCGACTTTGTTAGATATTACTTTCTTGCCGTCAGAGAACAGGTTTAAATACTCTGCAAGAACACAGAGCTCCCACTTATGGACATGGCAGCAGTTGTCTCGGTACGTCATCACATAGTCATGAAAATATTAGTTCGGTTCAACCATGGATGCTTCTGATGCAAATCAGAATACCTCGGCTCTACGGGATACAATGGAGAGCCTTGTACATGCTGAATGTTCCTTTGAATTATTGTGGATATGAGCGATGATCCACCTGATATAAGTTGCTGTATCAACGCTCCATTCTACTTAAGATGCTCGTACCTTCTCTCCGAATAGAAGCGGAGCCTGACAGCGGCATTCTGTTACGAAGTGGGATTCTCTAGTAGACGAATTTGAATTAAGGTTCAATTTGACATTGATAATCAATTTCGACTATCGCCAACCAGAACGAAACTACTGGACGATGCTGGTTTAGACTCACTACCATTATGTGCAAATATCTCCACATCGTGCGGGTAGAACGTAGTAGTGACTATGAATCGAAAACATAATTTTAGTCCTCGTGGATTGGTAATATCACAGGACCATAGGACCAAGCAATTTAACTCCAAGAACATAGTTCTTGTGCAAGCGAGAAATGGCGTACTGCGTGATCAAAGCATACTTGTTGGCTTTGATTACTGCCATAATCCTTGTCCGGCTGAAGAATTTCACCGGTGGAATACACGGCATGAGCTTCGTAAATCCATCCTTACAACTACATATTATCTGTGACATAGACAGCTTGATAACATGGAAAGACCGACGCTGCATAACAGTGATGATAAAATTTATAAGCCCCAACAGATACCTAGACCCCCTCGAAGGATCAGAGGTGGGTGCATAACACGCCCAAATAACCATAGCTATTAGTCTCGTATGTTGGAAATACAAACCGTCCGACGCTGCGCTCGTCGTTGAGTACTCCACTTTATTCTCCTCTTATCCGACCCACTTTTATTTAGACGAATTTCAAACAACGCATACTTCTCCGGTAGACACATGGTACATAGTTTTCTTATCTACTCGAAGCATTACCTCTTTTATTATTTCTACAAGTATATAAGAACTTTAGATATCGTAGAAACACCTCAGTCAATTCCTATCTGACTGGGGTGAGCTATAGCCTACTTACATATTCACATTTACCTTTACTGATTGCTCTCGTAGCGTTACCTTTATTTTATTCCGATAGGTACAGCTACAATATATCTTAGTCAATTCCTATCTGACTGAGCGTTACCTTTATTTTATTCCGATATCGTTACTGTCTCGATGTTAATGCGAATAAAATAACAGTTATATCCGAGCTATGATTCACTGTCTAAATCTCTTCAATTTACTCCAACAATCCGATTTGATCATCAGCTCACGGACATTGCTTTTTCCTAGATGCGGTAGAGATGCAGAGACTGAAAGTGTTTTCCGATGAGCGGCACTGATGACTGCTTATGAAAGCTACGCCACTGACTGCAGCAACGAGACTCTCACAAGAAAGAAGTACGGCGAATAGAAATCCCGGTGGCTCTCGGCGGTGAAGGAATAAAGTATGTTGGAAAGATAGCATGGACGTTCGGTAGGAGCTTCCTTCGTTTGCCACAATAATATCACGAGACTCTCTCCCATATCACATTTACTCTGGACTGTCAGAAAGATTTCCTTCCCGTCATCTTCATCTGCACAATGAGAGGAAAGAAAATTGGCAGTGGCTTCAATAAAAAAATGACATTGAATACACACCATAGATGATAGTACATATATCAATCGTGTATCTGCGGATGAGGTCGTGGTTTATCTGAGTGGATCTTTCGTCTGTACAGGTCGGTCACCTGGATAATTTCATCTGTTTAACGCTCATCCGTGCTAGTCCCGACCACGAGTGTATCGGGGATTGCCGACCCCTACTCTAACGCTAGCGAATTTGATTTAGGGTTCAATTTGATATCGATAATCAAATGACAACTATCGCCAACCTGAGTGAAACCGCTAAACAATGCAGGATTAGACCCGCCGCTGTTATGTTCAAATTTTTACACATAGTACAGGTAGAGCACAATAGCAACAATGAATCAAAATCATAATTGTAGTCACAATGAACTGCCAGGTGATTTGAACGGCAAAAACATTGTTTCTGTGCGGGCGAGAAACGGCGTGCCGCATGAGCTAACCATACTTGATAGCTTCTGATCACCACCATAATCCTCTTTCGGCTGAAGAATCGCAACAGTGAAATCCACAGCGTGAGGTTCAGAATCATAAAGCATTCGTTACAAACACATATTATCCATGATATTGACTGCTCGGTAACATGGACGGACTGGCATTGCAAAACAAAGATGTCACAGATTTATGAGTTCCAACAGATGCTTAGACCCCCTCGAAGGATCAGAGGTGGGTGCATAACATGCCCTAATTATAGCTCAGTCTCGCTACTATTCAACATCAATGAGAATAAAATAACAGTTATATCCAAGTTAGTTTATCATCGATTCGTCGTCCAAGGCCCTTACTTTTACCTCAAACACCCAATTTGTCAGCTCATGTACAGTGTTTTATAAATCGGATGCGGTGGAATTAAGCGACTGAGAGTGCCTTCCGATTGAGCGATACTGATGTCTACTTATAACAACTACGTCATGGACTCCAGTGACGAGACACCTACAATAAACAATTCGGTGAGTAGAAATCCCGGTGGCTCATCGCGATGAAGAAATAACGTAAGTTGGGGGTAGAGCTTCGGTAACGACTTCCCGGAGAGGAGCAGAGAAATGGCCGCGGCTTCATGGAGAAAAGGAGATTGAGAAGTACCAAACATGCACACTTTTGCTAATTGCTATAGAGTATTCAGGAAATTAGGAACATTCAATGCTCAGTATCCACAAAGTCCGTTATATTCTACGATAAAATGGAATCTACGTTTGTAAAGCAATGGATAATGTTCATACGGAAGCCGTTCCGAAGAGACCGAGTCACTGGTGTAAGTGGCATGCATTCTCTAGTGTATATCCAGCACCATTCTAGCTGTCAATGACAAGGAATGATCGATACAGATCAAATCAAGGGCTCAAGATTTCACCTAAACTATTCAGAGACAGAATATCTTCGTACCAGCAGTTGCTGCTCGAGAACTTTCCATACACAATGGCAGTTTCACAATGGGCCGGAGGATCTCGTTGATTAAACTTCTAAACTTGGTACTAGGATAACTATGAATGCGTACTCAGGGCTCCTCAGTTAGAGCTGAAAGCAAGCATGTGCTATGTGGATGGAGAACCTTGCACTCGTAACGATCAGTGCTGCAGCGGAAACTGCGACCCTGTATGTGGTTGTTTTTATCATATTGACCAAATTTCTAAACTTGATGCTAGAATTACGGCTACGAATGCGTACGTCACTATATTCATTGCATATATACTCCATATCATAACTTAATGTTAGAGTCCAAGCTTGCAAGGCGTCAAATCGACTCTCACTTCGGGGCATCAAGCTAATTTTTGTCACATCCCTGGAGAGCCCTGTGATCGCAACGACCAGTGCTGCTCTGGCAGCTGCGATCTCGTACGTCATTATCTGTGTTTTATTCTTCTTACATATAACGGGAGATTTAGAATCGTTACGAATGCGTTAGTTACAGTATTACATTCCTCTACGCAATACCTGATCTATCTACAGACAGGCAGACTCGCATCTGCCCAACATTTGAATGCTTGTCATATCCCCGGAGAGCCCTGTGATCGCAACGACCAGTGCTGCTCTGGCAGCTGCGACCTTGTACGTCATTATCCGTGTTTCATTCCTCTCATACTAAGTGAGAAATTTAGAATCGTTACGAATGCGTTAGTTACAGTATTATGTTCCTTTATATGATACCTGATCTATCTACAGACCGATAGACTCACATCTATCCAACAGATGAATGCTTGTCATGTCCCCGGAGAGCCTTGTGATCGCAATGACCAGTGTTGCTCCGGACGTTGCGACCTTGTATGTCATCATTTGTATTTATTTCTCATATCTAACCGTAAATTTAGAATCTTTACACATGTGTTCGTCTTACATTCAAAATACAGTCGTATAGTATCTTAATTGAGTGAATTACAGGCAGCTGCTTTTCAGGGGCCGAAGTTGGGCCATCAGATGAATGCTTGCCACCATGCTGGAGAGCCTTGCGATCGTCAGGACCAGTGCTGCTCCGGACACTGTGACTTGGTATGTGGGTCCTCATTACCTAGTAAACAATTCTGACCGCTGGTACAGGGGAAATACCGATGTGTTAGTGTTCTCTGACTGAATGGATTTATGGTGCATCATCTGATTGATTTTTAGGTTGGAGGGTTGCAAAGCAATCCATTTACTGTCCAAGTCGAGGCCTAAATATCGCCTTAAGGTTCTTTACCGTGTCAAAGGCACCCAATTAACGTTCTCTGTAGTCTCGAATTATGCAAACTCCATCTTGATGCCGCTGATGTAGTTATATCTCTATCTCGTGTTGTCTGTACTTGTAAATGTTGAATATATCTTACCGCTAAGTCTCCTTCCCCACATATAGCTGTCTAATTGAGTTCCTCAGGGGAGATGAGGGAAGTATACAGGCGCATGGTATAGTTAGTTATCACTTTTGCTTTGCATCCATGATAAATTGGGGCCTGTGCGACAGGTGTTGGGTTCAATTCCCATGTGTCCACAAAAAGTCTATCAGGTATTTGTTTTCGCCAAGCAAACCATAGAAATTAGTTTATCCCCTGTTTTTTTTTTGTCAACTCTAGGTAGCTCAGAGAAATGTTATATTTTATTTATTTACTGAATGAACATTGTACACTGAGCCGTCGAAGTGATGGGAAGGAGAGGAAGCACCAGGCATATGGTGTAGTTGGTTATCATGCTCGCTTAGCATGCATCCAGTGTGAAGTGAGTCTGCGAGAGGTGTTGCGTTCAATTCCCAATGTGTTCATAATCACAGCTTAATAAAGTTTTCGTCCATATTAGAACCAGCCTTGCCATGGTGATCTCTTTGCATTAAAATTCGTTGTAAGAATAGACACGAACAATTTATCGTTGAAGAAGTTAATGCAAGGAAGGACTACTGGTAATTATAGCTATTAGAGGGCTATAAACATGAAGAAAAGAGAAAAGGGACCGGGAAACGGGATTGGCATAGGTTGAAGTTTTGACGAATCAACAAGTAGCTAAGCGGCGTCTATTTAGCTTCCAAATCGAACGTGTTTGGTTTGAGCAAGAAGAGCAAATAGAGCAAACAGAGCAACGGGCTTGTCTTCCTGGATACACTGATACGCTGTTCAGCTTACCCTCCTTCTCATAATTCATCTAGCTCTTCCCCATCCTCGTCAAAATCCCACTCTGCTTCCCACCTCCAACTCTGAATCCCCTGCTCTTTCGTGATTCCTTCATAGTTCTCTTGTGCATCGTATCAACCCTGCCTCACCTCTGTTGGGTGCCAGATCCCGACAATTTCCTCCCCGATGTGGTGTCCAGCCAAGTCATTGGCCTTCGCAAACTCATCCGTGTGACACGTGAATGCGAGACGACCCTTTCGTCTCACCGGCATACAGAATGTACAGCATCTAGTAGGTGAACAATGTCGGCATGGTTACGATCTTGCTGGGGTCCTTGGGCGATGCAGGTAGCGAGGCGAGAAGGCACGTTTCAGTCTGCACGTCAACGAGGTGCGCATTTCTACCTTATAACTATTTCGGGAGAGAGCGAGTACGTTTGAATGTATGTTACAGGCTGGCCTGATGCCATACCCAGGCTCTATGCACTCAAAAATACTCTATAATCGCCTGTCTCTCAAATGGAAATCTCCGTTTACCAGTCGATATGGTTCTTCTTCTCGCCACCTCTTTCTGCCTTCATATCCTACTAACATCCCAGTCCAGGCGAAACTCACCGACCTCAATACCACCGACACTCCAACGCGCGCCCTTCCTCCTCTTCCTCTCGTGTCTCCAAAAAACTCACCACCGACCTAAGGCAAACCCTCGACCTCGATCGCTACCCGCCCCCTTCCCAGAACTACTATATATCAAACTTCAGCTGGCCTCTCCGTGGGCTGCCCACTGATCCCGACCATGTCTTCCTCGGCGTTGGGTTCGAGGAAGCAACTGACTCCCCCACGCGGCCCTCGAACACTTGAGAAGATTCTCTTCACTCCACAATGTAAAGAAGGTACTGTTGGAATATTGTAATTAGATTTACGAGTGAGCGCGATCTAGACCACGCCCGCAGTCACATTTGCATTTTTGTGGCTGAGTTTCATTGATATATATATCTTAATTATGTAGATATTTTGTATATAAGTAGTGTACATTTGAGATTGTAAACTATCCGTTTGCCTCACGAGCTCACCGAGGCCAAACGTTACGTCGCTTATTTCAACAGGTACAGCGTCTGCGTGGAGGTGAACGATATACCTATAATAAAGTCTGCGGAGGGCACTGGAAGGAGAGTTACGCAGTTTGTTTGGTAACGGTACCAAATAACGTTGTCACTTTGTGACAGTCACACCCGCACGCGATCACTAACCCATCACTCGCTGCTCATTTTCACCTTATTATTTTCAATCTTTCTGTAGTTATAGACGGCAGTGAATATGGTTCTCTCAAATGAGATTCACATTACCCTTCCCTACGTTACGACCCAATACTCACATCATGTGCATAACTCTTCGGTCACAGCGTAGTTGGTTGTCTAACTAGCAGGCGCGTTCGGGCTCAACTTTGATTTCAATAGTCACCAGTCACCTTGTGTCCTACAATGTACTCTGTACACTAATCGTGGTATTTCTAGCTCAAATACTGTCAACATTTACAGAGTCATAATGTGATAAAGCGTGGACTTAGTACAACAACGCTCGTAGAAGGAACGAGACAAGAGCTAGCGAAATCTGTAATCACCCCGGGACGTGACTAGGGAGGATACGAGCTCAGATTATATGGATTCTCCCTTCAATCTCCTGAAGAAAGGTAATTTTTGGGGCCCTTATTAGATGCCCACTTTATTCAACAGGGGGAAATGTTCTTGTCTTACCCGATCACATAAACGTAGCGGCTAAATTCACCTTCCGCACCAGTGTTCCTAGAAATGAACTCCCAGAGGATTTATTGTACCAGTTTGACGTTGCTCTCAGTGAAGCCTAGAACACGATACGGTGTGCGAGCATTTGTACTGTCTCATGTCACATATCCAGGGCGTGGGAAACATCGGAGGACGTTACTTACCGATGACTCGATGGTACTTCAAGAGGAATCAACATGTAATAGCCAGGCAACATCAGACATATTCTACTCGAAGATTTTGAAGTGCCTGGGCCCTGTATCTCACGACATCAGCCGGCGAATAGGAAGTACAATGATAGCCCGACCTGTTTACTTAAATTATCAAGGTCTTCGATGAATCGACTCGTTAGTCACCTTCTCTTATCCCTCATTTCTGTTGCATCCATGTTTACGAAGAAATCGAACAGCAGCGGTATGGCAGAAGAAAGGACACGTTCCTATTTTCCGGATTACCCTCTATTGCCTGAAACACATGCACAGTTGGAACAAATGACTGCCAACGACGCTATGAACTGCGCAAAGAATACGCTCGACGCATTTAAATGGACCTTTCTTCCATCTGTGTTGAAATATGCACCGTCCCCGCAAGGACAACTCAATGTATCGATGTTAATCCTACATATTCGGGCTCAATTCGACTGGGACTACATCAAGGATATGAAAAAGTACATGAGTACTGTGAAGGCAAACGATCCAGGTATGTTCGCCACATTTATGTATGAATACCATGATTGAACGCCAGCCTCTTCGTATTTGGTCAGGAGACTATCGTAACACAGAGAAATTTTATGCCAACCAGTATCAGAGTCAAATAATCATCAAGCTTATGGAGTTGGATTTGTATTATAAACAATCGCTGATCCTCCCTCGTAGGTGACAGTCTTTTAATAAGGTCAACCGTATCTTACTCACAGAATCGCTCAGAATTCGGTCTTAAAAATTGTGTTCAACCTCTCACTTTCTCATTCTTGCCCCTAAACTATTACTCGGGGTATCCAGTAAAATCCTGCAGTAGAAGTGATAACAGAGAGTTGGTACGTACTATCTCTCAATAGGGTTTGTATGTAAATCGCTAACTCGCATCGTTACTGCACAGCTGCTTAAACGAGACTACTATATGTGTCGTGCGACTGGGCGCTATGATTTGGAGCTAGGAAAAATGGCTTCTAACGGTGTGGTAGGAGACGGAAAATATTGGAAGGAAATTGATAACCATGTGTATGATCACACCGTCTCGGCCGACTATTTACAAGCCGCTCACATAATCCCCTATTCTCTGAACAACTTCGACGAAAAAACGCCAGAGGAGGTTTATAAGGTAAATCCTTTTATTTTATTATGCGCCATAATGATATAAATCCGCAAGTCATAGTATCAAGTGATATGGAAAACATTACAAGCATTTTCCGGATTTGATTTATCGACACTCAAAGGGACAGAAATTAACAAGCCCTCCAATATGGTGATGCTGTGTCCTACCGCTCATAAAATGCACGACGATCTCCGTCTCTCATTCTCTCCAGTAACTGCGAGTTCATTTCCTTCTTCATATAGCATAAAGGCGTAAATTTTCTGACATAAGAATTACAGGGCCAGCCCACGAGGTTCAAAGTCAATACCTTCGGGGAAACTAACGGATGGTTTGGGTTGGTAAAAGATGACACAACGACCCTGAATATAAAAAATGAACTGTTAATTATGGACAGCGGAATCGATCCCACATATTTGGCCATCCATCATGCGATATGTGTCATATTGGAGGAGAGCGGCATATACCCAGAACTGAAAAAGGACAGATTGGAGGAGTATATCAAGCTGGATGAAAAGTATATACTTGGAGATTGAAGTAATATCTCGTTATGTTTCGAAACTATGCGATACTATACAAGCTTATAACCAAATGCAAAGAACTGTTTATGTACGATAAAATACTAAGTTAATCGGCCGTTTAATTCGAATACAAGTGAGGCACCGTTATAACATCCAGAGTGTAACGTGGAGACCGGAACTATGCAGTACTACGTACACAGGCCTGTAATCAAATGCAAAGAATTGCTTATGCACGACAAGGCACTGAATGATCCAGCCCCTTAATTCGAGTACCCGGTAAGGCACCTGTTATAAAATCCAGGTCGCATATCAATAGGCGCTTGTGTCAGAAGTTCTCACCGGGAAAATGGGTACTCCGAGATTTTCGATTACCAGGCACGTCCTCAACGACTGGATTCTGCACGAAACTGTACGTTGATTTACCTAACGGAAAATTTCTATAAATTAGGTATGCTTGTCGTCCGAGAATCCTGTCGTACATTTCCCTCCTCACTGAATTCAACATGGCACAAGTGCGCTCACGGACCTTCTTGGGAACCATTCCTTTATTGAAAACACTCTCCCTGGAGGATCTCCACACCTCCCTCGATGCAGCCTGGCGTACCGTTGGGGTTATCGATGCCAAAGGGGAAATGCGTTTGCTACAGCCCATGCTGTTACACGCGCCAACAAGAAAAGGCCAAAGACACATGTGCGATTCCATTTTGTTGATTCGACAGGAGCACGAAAATGCGTATCTTGCAGCTATTGATAGCGCGGTGATGCGAGGTTCAAATGCATCGGGTACATAGGATTTTGCTGCTTCAAACATCTTCACATGTCTCATTGATATCTGAATTGTTGCCTTTAGCGTATAACCAAAAAGAATCCGATTTCGCGTTGCAATATCAGAAGAAAATCGCCGAGGCTCTACTACAGTTACATAAATATTTTGAATGTTCATTATTTCTACCTAGTGAGTATCTAACTCCTTTCTTAACCAGCATATATTTACATGACATTGGTAACTAGTCCTCGGGAATAAGACACGTGTGATAGAAAGGCCGTCCGTGGGGCCCGACTATTACGGCAAGTACCCCATCGATCCGTGTCCTCGAAGCGATGACAGAGAAGAGGTTTGCTGTTTTCTCTGATGACTTTTCATGCAGTACTAAATATATGCTGAAGTTGCTCCAGAGGGATAAATTTACATGTTACGCTACAGGCCGTCGCGATCTGTCCCTAGCAAAGAGGATGACATCGAGACCAAGTGATTGGAATCCTGTCCTCACTGACTATTTGGAAGCGGCGCATATCATTCCATATTTCCTAAATAAATTCAAACTAAAGAAAGAAAAGAAAATGGTATGGGTTCGGATCTATATGATGTATGAAAACAAATGCATTCTAATCGATGCGTAACAGCATATAATCATATGGAAAGCATTGGAAGAATTTTCGGGATATGATTTGTCAACGCTCAAAGGAAAAGGAATCAATCATGTTTCCAACATATTCATGCTTTGTCCAAGCGCGCATAAAATGCACGATGACCTTCGGCTCTCCTTTTATCCAAATGCGGTACGTCTGCTTTTTACTCAGATTCCAAATCTCCTGGTCTCTGAATATTAAAAAATAGGAAAACGTCAACGAACACCTTGTAAAAACATACGACAAGACTGCTGATTGGCTCGACGTTGTGAAACGGGTAACCTTTCACAAAGATATAAACAGGGATTGGATTGCAATCCACCATGCTATGTGCGAAGTACTGCAAGATGGCCGGACATATGAGGAGATTAGGAAGTTAAGTGATGCGGCGTAAATGTAGTTTATAATTGTAAACGATACAGGGGATGAAGTACGAATGCGGGGCTTTGTTTAGCTGCTGACTGGAGTAGTTTCACTGGTGACGAGCCTCGCACGGCTCTGTACTCGGAAACTCGGTCCTGCCGCTGCTAAATCGACTTCAGTATATCTATTTTCGACTAGGAATCGTCGGGGAAGGTTCGGAACGCATCAAGAAGCTTCAAAATCGTTCCGCAATGTTATTTGAGCTCGGAACAACGGATGCTATTCCAAAATACTTCATTTTATTTGATTTGACTCGCATTTTCTCATTTTTAAGACAATCTAAGTATTTATTCAACATAGGAGTAGTTTCATCCACATGAATCGAGTCCCATGAGCGAGTCTGACTTCTACAGCCGCTCGATGATCA